CCCCCCCCTCGTCACACATAGTCACAAATGTCTGAACCCCCCCTCCCCTAGGTGCGTGACGTCATTTATGGACGGCCCCTAACCCTAAAAACCTGTATTGTGGATATTGGTCGTGAAAGCCTCCGACGTGTTAAAATGTCGCCTTGCGAGTCTTTCTCGAAACACTTTCATGCACTTGGACAATGTGGTGGACCGTAGGTTGGTGCAACGTCTCAGATAACCGTGCCGATTCCATTCAGAAGATACTTCACGAGGAATCCCGATGAGCTATAAAGCTCTTTAATTACAGATGTCCAGTAGAGGCCACACGTGGCCGTCGGAACGTTACAGGAACAACAACCCACAGAACTCACAAACACGATATGAGTGCAAAGTACAAGACAGGTAAACACACAATCGCCTAGACAGACACAAACAACCGCCATTCGTCACTAAGTGGTGGTGATGTCACCACGACGCTTGTGCCAGACCATGTGCACCTTGAGGCCACGTGAAGTGTCGAACACCCGCTGGCAGGTCACGGGGCAGACCCAGTGCCACGGGTCTACTGAGATGACTGGCTGATTGCACCACCTGTGCCCCCTACTGTACCAACTTGCTGTGCTTTAGCCACCCGGTGCTCCGCTCGTTGTTGTGAGCGTCGCTCCTCCGCCCTCCATTGTTGTTTGGAGGGCAGGTAAACACACAATCACACAGACACACACACACCAAACAACACAATCACCTAGACACACAGATATAACACTAAACCATCCCCCATCCATATCAAGCAAAGCCCTACTGAGGGTGTGAACTGTTTGTTTAGAAGCGACGTGGCCATCACAAATGATCATCATCATCACGTGGACATTTATAGCAGCAGGGGCCGTCCATAAATTACGTCACGCGATTTTGGACGATTTTTGATCCCCCCCCCCGCCTCGTTACACGGCGTCACAAAAAGTCACCCCCCCCCTCAAATATGACGACAAAGCTCTGCCCCCCCCCCCCCAAAAAAAAAACATGCTTCGAATCGCTTTAAACTATTGTCATTGTAGTGCGTATTTAATGTGGCGCTGCAGGCTGATGTTGTTATAACAATTCTATATTTATTTAAAGTTGCGCATTTTTACGTGACGTCACATTCTCAAACCCTCTCCCCCCGTCACACATCGTCACAAATGTCTGACCCCCCCCCTAGGTGCGTGACGTCATTTATGGACGGCCCCTAAAAACGATAGTCCTATAAAAGTGTTGACATTTTTTTGAAGCACCCTGTATTATAGGAGCCATGTTTGTTTGCAAGTTTTGCCACAAGTGCCGAGTGTGGTTAACGCAAACCTGATGCCTTGCAAGGGGTGTCCATTTTGAGTTTGACCATCTGAACACAACTTCCTGTTTTTTGCCAGAAAGGGGAAAGTCAAGGTTCAGGACGTCTCAAATAAACTCAAAGCCCTCGCGTGGCGTCGCGAGCTCTTCTTTCCGAATCTTCATCGTTGTCGTCTGCGCCCAGACATCCCCTTCCTTGTCCCCCCGCCCCCCGGATCTCCAGAGCCTCAATCTACCTCGGGGCTCTCGGTTTTTGGTTCGAGCGAAGCCCCGGGTTTTAAACGGCCCACGCTCTGGGCCCAAGGCCCGTAGTGGTTCAGACACTTGACGTGAAAGTCGAGGTTCGAAAGCTCCGCAAAGCTCCTCCCCACACGAAGCACTTGTGCGGCTTCTCCGCGCTGTGCGTCCTCGCGTGCTTGTCGCGAGCCGACGGGTTGACGAAATCCTTGGCGCACGTCGGGCACTTATACGGACTCCTGCCTGCGTGCGTCATCTTGTGAATCTTGAGCGCCGACAGATGGGCGAAGTCCTTCCCGCACGTGTCGCACCTGTGCGAATCTCCCGCGTGGGTCCTCGTGTGAGCGTTGAAAGCCGACAACTGCGCAAAGTCCTTGCCGCACGCGGCACACGTGAATGGCTTGCACCCCGTGTGGCTCATCATGTGGTACCGGAGGGACTTGGCGACGACGAATCCCCTCCCGCACACGGGGGTCGGCAACGGGAGGGGCTTCTCGTCCGCATGGACCTTGGCGTGGACCCTGAGGTCGAGAGCTGCGCGAAGGCCTCGCCGCACAGCGAGCACCGGTGCGTCTTCTCTCGCCAGCGTGGACCCTGACATGGGCCCTCAGCGACGACGGGTCGGCGAAGGTCCGGCCGCACGGTGGGCAGGCGCGAGCCCCGCCGCCGCCGCCGTCGTCGTTGGCTCGCCATGTGCCTCTTGAGGGAGAAGGAGAGGACGAAGCCCCTCGCGCACTGCGGGCACCTGAACGGCTTCTCGCCGCCGTGCACCACCGCGTGGCTGGCGAGGGTGGACGCCTTCCGGAAGGTCTTGCCGCACGCAGGGCACACGACGGGCCCCTGCCCGGCGTGCGTCGCCTTCGCGTGGGCCTTGAGGGACGATGGGTGCAGGAAGCCCCTACCGCACACGTCGCACCGGTGAGTCTTCTCGCCCGCGTGAGCCCTCGCGTGGGCGTTGAAGGCAGAGCGCTGCGCGAAGGCCTTGCCGCACACGGGGCACCGGTGCGGCTTCTCCCCGGTGTGGCCCATCATGTGGTACCGGAGAGACTTCGCCACCACGAACCCCTTTCCGCAAACGGCGCAGCGCAGCGGCTTGTCGTCCGCGTGGACTTTCGCGTGCCCCCTGAGGTCCGACAATTCGACGAAAGTCTCTCCGCACAGGGAGCACCTGTGTGACTTCTTCTTATTCCCCTCCTTGCCGTGGGTTTTCTGGCGATTCCTCAGCTTGCCGTGACCCCTTTCACCCTCCAGGACCACCTCAATCTCCGCCACTTGCCGTGAAGTCGGAGGGCCTCTGCACGAGATTGCTGTCTCTCCCGGCCTGTCGCTGGAAGCGGCATCCTGTAGGTCCTCCTCCTCCCCCTCCTCCTTCTCCTCCTTGATGCGAATATCCTCTCCGTCGGAATGAAGATCGGCCTCCTCATCAAATAGCTCATCCCCTGCCTTGTTAAGCTCATCTCCCGCAGTCCGCAGGGCTTCTTGAACTCGCTCGTCGCATCCATGACCTTAGCGGTAAAACGACAGCACAGCGGGTCCTCGGTTTAACGCACTCGTAGTAGTAGTGGCGGGTAGTAGTGGTGGTAGTAGTAGTGGCAGTAGTAGCAGTAGGAGTAGTGGTAGTGGCGGTAGTAGTAGTGGTATTGGTGGTAATAGTGGCGGTAGTAGTGATAGTGGTCATAGTAGTGGTAGTCGTAGCGATAGTCGTGGTAGTAGTGGTGATAGTAGTGGTCATAGTAGTGGTGATAGCAGTGGTAGTAGTGGTATTAGTAGTGGTGATGGTAGTATTGGTAGTAGTGGTGTGGATGGGGATCTTTCAATGCGGACAATTTTTACGGTCGCAAACCTTCGCCAGGTCAGAGTAGATCACTCACCACCACCGTCACCACCACCACCACTGTCACCACCACCACCGTCACCACCACCGCCATCAGAGTCGGCTCTCTCAACCTTGACGGGTGGCCACGTCTCAGCACCCATCTCCTCCTCCTTCACCTCCACCTCCAACTCCTCCTTCACCTCCTCCTTCACCTCCTTCACCTCCTCCTTCACCTCCTGCTCCATCTCCTCCTTCACCTCCTCCTCCTCTCGCTTCATGAGTGGCTCCACGCGCAGAGAAGGGGACTCCACAACCTCCTCCTCCTGCTACACCTCCACCGCCACGTCTCCTGTCCCAAGAGGAACCCAGCGCGGTGAGAAACTCAAGACGCTGCCGCTCTCCGTGGGTGTGTGAGTAGCTGAGTGAGTGCGCAGCTGAGTGGGTGGGTGAGTGAGTCGGTGGGTGAGTGGGTGTCTTAAGTGTGTGAGTGGCTGGGTGGGTGTGTGAGTAGCTGAGTGAGTGGGTGGATGAGTGGCTGAGTGACTAGTTGAGTGAGTGGGTGTCTAAGTGTGTGAGTAGCTAAGTGGGTGGGTGAGTGAGTCGGTGGGTGAGTGGGTGTCTTAAGTGTGTGAGTGGCTGGGTGGGTGTGTGAGTAGCTGAGTGAGTGGGTGGATGAGTGGCTGAGTGGCTAGTTGAGTGAGTGGGTGTCTAAGTGTGTGAGTAGCTAAGTGGGTGGGTGAGTGGCTGAGTGGGTGGCTGAATGTGTGAGTGGCTGAGTGAGTGGGTTGGTGGGTGAGTGGCTGAGTGGGTGGGTGGGTGGCTGAATGTGTGAGTGGCTGAGTGAGTGGGTAGGTGGGTGAGTGATTGAGTGGCTGAGTGTAGTCGTCAGCGCTACGAACCTGGCGCCCCGAGTTCCCGCTCACGGCCAACACCGGTGACGATCATTTGAACCGGTCCTGTCGCCTCCCCTAGGTCGACTCAGCCGTAAATTAGTACCTGGTGCGGTGCGTAAACATCGCCACTGGAGAGACAAAGGTGGCCGGGCGTGTGGGTGGGTCCACAATGGCCAACTGGGACGGTGAGGAGCAGCGCGAATCTCGAGATGAGAGTCAAAGTGAGACAGACAGAGACAGAGTGAGTCAGACGTAGCCACTCAGCCATAGCCCCCGCGTATGGCGAATGGGGTGGAGTCGAGGGCGTGAGAGGCTGGTAGATGCACGGCCAAGACGAAGCACTCCATGTAGACTCCAGATGGCACGCAGCGAATGCCCCTACTTACAAACAAGTTTGGTTTGCAGGAGGTCTGTCTGTAAGTCGATGTATTCGTAAGTCCCAACTTCACTCCTGTCGATTATACTATACTAAATTATATACTACACTACATTATATACTACACCACATCATATACTACTACACTACATTATACACTACTATACTACATTATATACTACACTACATTATATACTACACTACATCATATACTACTACACTACATTATACACTACTATACTACATTATATACTGTTACACCACTGTACAGGGACTGCCTCGACTTACAAACGAGTTGGGTTTGCAGGAGGCTCTGTCTGTTCGTAAGTCCCAACTTTATTCCTGTTGACTGCAAATGTATTGTACGGCATGTACGGTACTACTATACATGATACACTACTATACTAAATTATACACTACTACATTACTATATACTACACTGTATTATAAAACTACACTACATTATATAGTACTTGCTACTGGTTCTTCACGTTCTGTAGATGTAGATACCACTGGTTCTTCACGTTCTGCAGATGTATATGCCACTGGTTCTTCACGTTCTGCAGATGCCACTAGTTCTTTACGTTCTGCAGATGAAGATGCCACTGGTTCTTCACGTTCTGTAGATGTAGATACCACTGGTTATTCAGGTTCTGCAGATGTAGATGCCACTGGTTCTTCACGTTATGCAGATGTAGATGCCACTGGTTCTTCACGTTCTGCAGATGTAGATGCCACTGCTTCTTCACGTTCTGCAGATGTAGACGCCACTGGTTCTTCACGTTATGTAGATGTAGATGCCACTGGTTCTTCACGTTCTGTAGATACAAATGCCACTGGTTCTTCACGTTCTGTAGATGTAGATGCCACTGGTTCTTCACCTTCTGCAGATGTAGATGCCACTGGTTCTTCACGTTCTGTAGATGTAGATGCCACCACCGCCATCTATTGCGAGGCGGATGAACTTACGACTCTCAATCCCAACAGGCTGCAGCTGGACAAACGGGACCTGGTTTGTTCATATGTCAGAGAGTCCGTAAGTCGAATGTAGAGGAGTCCCCTATATATACTTTTTCTAAGTGGCTACAATTCAAAGATTACCCCAGGGCATCCTAGGGGACTTGAGAGAAAAGGAGGTTGAGGAGGGTGGACTGCTTTATATACGGAGGCAGTTTTTAATCTATGGTGCAGTGCTGAGCCTATGGTGCAGTGCTGAGCCTATGGTGCAGTGCTGAGCCTATGGGCAGTGTTGAGTCTATAGTGCAGTGTTGAGTCTATGAGGCAGTGTTGAGTCTATGGTGCAGTGCCGAGCCTATGGTGCAGTGCCGAGTCTATGGTGCAGTGCCGAGTCTATGGTGCAGTGCCGAGTCTATGGGTAGTGCTGAGTCTGTGGTGCATTTGTAATGGGTTCCGGAGACACTTTGTAAATGCAACTTCTTTATTACATTACACCTTTCCAACAGTTCTTATACACTGTTACAGCCTAGGGACACAGCCTACTTCTAGCGTGCCTAACACTGGCTACGCTCTCGGGTCCTCCGACTACAATTACCCTAGGTGAGGCTACCTGACCCGACCCAGCCAAGATGCGGGTCTAGACTCTGGCTTCCTCGGACCTCGCCCTTACAAGGGTCCCAGAGTCCCACCACTGGCCCGCACAGCGTCCCGGCCTTTCCAAGGACAAGCGGGGCGAGGGGGTCCAGGGTCCTAAGCTGGCTGGTCTTGGGTCTTCAGTGGCGATTGGTCCTAATCGGCTGGGGAGCGGCCCTTTTATCTCCCTTGCCCATCGAGGGATGGGGTTGCGTGGGTTCGCAGATCCCCTGCAGCCCCCCATTTGGTGGCGCCAAGGGGCTCAGCAGTCTGGGAACCTGAGGCCCTGGCGCCGAGGGCTTAGCTGCCTAGGATCCTGAGCCCCCAGCAGCCCCCCCCCCTCTTGGGCTGGCACAGTGGCCCCTCCCCTAGGGGTCCGAGGTACCTGCAGATGGGCCCTGTCCACCACTGCCGGTAAGTGTGGCCCATCTACGGCACTACACAGTGTCTATGGTGCAGTGTTGAGTCTATGGTGCAGTGTTGAGTCTATGGGGCAGTGTTGAGTCTATGGTGCAGTGTTGAGTCTATGCTGCAGTGTTGAGTCTATGGTGCAGTGTTGAGTCTATGGTGCAGTGCTGCGCATTCGAAACGCGTCGCTCCGACGATTCATCTCGTGGGTCAGCAACGCTTTCACGCACATCCAGACGAGAAGGGAGCGTTCGCTAACCCGCCATTCGGGGCAATGCGCATTTATTTGATCGGCGAGCAACAAAAAAACCATCACGCAAACTCCGGTCATGCTCGCAGGAGCAGAATTGGCAGCGGCTTTTGGGCGGCCATCGAATGAAGACGGCAGTCGACGCATCGCGTGGCGCTTTCAGATGCGCTGCTTCTGCGGCCGTCTGGAACGCTCTTCCTTCCGATGTTAGGAAGCTACTGGAGCCAATCTATGCACTTTTGAATCATCTAGATTGACGAACTAATTTGTTTAGAACTGCTTGTTGTTGTGTTTAGGTTGTTGTCCACCCCCCCCCCCCCGCTTACCTCTGATTAGCACGGTCGGCTACGCACGAAGCGAAAGAAGTTCAACATACATACGAAGCAACTAAACTAATTTAAAATTGTTTTAATCGCTTGGTAAGCACTGCATGAATAGTTTAGTGCTGCAGTAAATGCCGCATGCCGGTCTGAACCACCAGTACTTATTTCTTTAATTCTCTACATTTAACGAACAATTTAGAATTTTTGTTACTTAACAAATACTTCCCGTTTGGTGTGTTGGGTCGACGCAGGGTAGCAACATAACAACAAAGGTAGGTCCGTGGGGTGTCCGTACTACGCTGAGCGCCGAACCAAAACCGCAGTGTTTCCCCCCCCCCCCCCCCATGTAACGGCCTTCCGAGTTTTCGGATGATCGCGGATTTGCCGATTACGGTTCAGATTTTCAATAAAACGTATCAACCGCACCCCCGCCGTGGTGGGCGAGGGTTCGCTGTACCGCTTCCCTTTCACCCGCACTCGGTTCAAGCAGAAAAGACCTCCACCGCCGCACCTCTGGTTCGCTACATACATTGGTGTGCGAAAGAAGTTCAACGCACACACACACAAGCGTACGTAACAATTCAACCGCAATGCAGTTGACGGTTCCTACTTCCTTGCTGATCTAAAAGTTCCGGACTCTTTGCCATTCGTGCTGCGCATTGTCCGTGGTGCGTTCTGGGTTGGGCTACCGTGTGCCCGCCCGCTCCACACCACCGCGATTTCATTTTCGCGCGCCATGTTGGAAAAAAAATTTGGAAAGCATTTACCGCTGTTAAGTGAGGGAGCAGACCTGCGTGGTGGAATTCGGCCTCTTGAAAGTGGAACTGGGGTTCCATTTAACACGTAGCAGCAGGAGGCTTTTGCGATCAATGTTATCCATGATGGAGGTTTTTGGGTTTAGATCGTGTAAATGTGTCGTTAAACCCACCAGGGGGGGGAGGGGTTAACCCCTTACCTAATTGGCTGTGGCGGGTGGTGGTGGTTTAACGACACATTTATATTTACACGCTCCAACACAAAAACCCCTATGATGGGATTCCATTGATGCGAGCAGGTTTCCCAGATGACTCAAAGGTATACTTGATAAATAAACACCGTAGTGGGATGAATAGGTGGTAAGAATGTGCATCGGAACACGATTAAATCTGCAGCTTCCCAATGTCAGCAACGGGCGATAGCAGCCAAGCCTCCAGTGGCCGTCAAGCCAGGAGTTTAAAGCGATGCCTCTGAACGTTAAACGGCACGCGCTCGGCTTCAAGACTCGTAGTGATTAAGACACTTGATGTGAAAGTTGAGGTTCGAAAGGTCCGCAAAGTTCCTCCCGCACACGAAGCACTTGTACGGCTTCTGCACGTTGTGCGTCTTCGTGTGCTTGTCGCGGGCCGACGGGCTCACGAAGCCCTTCTCGCAGATCGGGCACTGGTGCGGCTTCTCGCCCGTGTGGGTCATCATGTGGATCTTCAGCGCCGAAAGGTGTACGAACTCCTTCTCACACAGGGCGCACCTGTGTGACTTCCTGTCCGAGTGGGTCATCAGGTGACTCTTGAGGGTCGAAAAATGTGTGAAGGTCTTCGCGCACAGGTCGCACTTGTGCGGCTTCTCGCCCGTGTGGGTCTTCATGTGGACGTTGAGCGTGGATATCTGCTTGAAGTCCTTCCCGCACACGGAGCACTTGTGCGGCTTCTCTCCCGTGTGGCTCATCATATGATTCTTAAGTGACTTCGACTCGATGAAGCCCTTGCCACACGCGGGGCACCGGTGGGGCTTCTCACCCGTGTGGATCTTAGTGTGGCTCCTGAGGTTGGAGAGGTGCGCGAATGTCTTCCCGCACGTCGCACACTCGTGTGGCTTCTCGCCCGTGTGGATCAGAAGATGGCTCTTGAGGGTCGACGAGTCCGTGAAGGTCTTCCCGCACACCGAGCACATGTACGGCTTCTCGTCCGTGTGCTTCATCATGTGCCTCTTAAGGGCAAACGACTGGATGAATCCCTTTTCGCACAGCGAGCATCGATACGGCTTCTCCCCCGTGTGGATCATTGCGTGGCTCTTGAGGGCCGACGACTTTCGGAAACCCTTCCCACACACGGAGCACTCGAGGGGCCGCTCTCCGGTGTGCGTCATCGTGTGGCTCTTGAGGCGCGACAGGCAGGAGAATCCCTTGCCACACAGGGTGCACCGGTGGGACTTCTTCTCATCATGGGCCTTCTGGTCGATCGTCGAACACTTCCGACTCCGGCTGTCCTCCAGGACCACCTCAATCTCGGCCACGTCCGACGAAATCACCCCGTCTCTCCGTGAGCTCCGTGGCCCTCTCCGAAGCCTCCCTTTGGAACCGGTGGCCTCGAAGGCTTCCTCCTCATCGTGGTCGTCATCATCCCCCTCGTTGGAATGAAGGTCTCGCTCATCGGATTGAAGATCCTCATCCTCACTGCTAAGGTCCTCTCCTTCGGAGTCTTCTTCTTTCAAACGAATGTCGGATTCTTCTTGACCTAGGAGGCGAAACGTTAAGAGTTGACCCTCAGTGCGAAGTCATACACGGGACAACGTCAGCTCGTGATGCATATGCAGCAAAGCGGGAATGCTAAGAAATGGTAATCTTACCAGGAGACAAAGCCACTTACTATCATCAGTGTCTTCACTCTTAACTTTCACCCGTGGCCACGCCTCATTCCTCGGCTTTTCTTGACCCGCTTTCCCGTCACGTGGCTCCACCAGCAAAGAGGCTGCCATCTCATCTGCCCAAAGTGAGAGCACAGCAGAACTACTGGACATCTGTGAACACTACTGGATACTAATCTTGATTTGAAGCTTTCTTGACTGCAGGAATCCATACTCCATAGTTCTTTCGGTAAAGTCACGTAGGTAGAAAAATAATAGATCACGACGTTTCGATCGCAACACAAGCAATCCTCATCAGGTGGGACAACCACAGCAAAAAAACTGCTGAAGTAGGCGAGAGATCTGCCGTAGCACAAGGATATCTGTGACACTGCTGGACATCCGTGAACACTATTGGACATCCGTGAACACTACTGGCTATCAGTGAACACGACGGTACATTCGTGAACACGACTGGACATCCGTGAACACTACTGGACACCACTTTTACGCCCCCTCTAAGGCCGGAAGACTTCTTCACAATTGATGGCTAATCGCCTGATGGAAGCTGCTGGCTGTTGTTGTAATCACCAACGAAACGTCACCAGCTACTCGAATGCGTAAATGTTGCTGCGGGTTTAACTCTCCAAACACGTAACAACACACCTGGTTTAGTGCTGAACTCGGTAACTAATCGGCCACGTGTTGTTTCGGTGACACAAACCCCAACCCCCCCCCTCACTGATTGGCCATGTCGGGTGGTGGTGGTGATGTTGGCAGTGGTGGCGGGTTTAAGGACACAACGTTTATATCCACGCGATCTAACCTAAACAACAAAACGCCCAAACCAATATTATGGATATTGGTCGCAAAAGCCCACGACTACCACTACGACTACTACTACTACGCATTAAACTGACTCAATGCTAATGCCACCTGCTCGCCCCGCGACTTTGCAGCCTGAAGGGAAAAGTGCGGGGAAGAAATCGCTCACCGGCGGCGGCATGAACATCCTCGCGCTGAGCATTTCCTCCAAGGGACAGCGTCTCACGGCCGGGGTCCCCTCCAGCGTCTCGCCCGACGGGCGACTGCCCCTCCTCGGACGACGGAGCCTCGGACATGCCCTCGTCACTGACCGTGATGCAGAACGTGAAGAACCAGTGGCATCTACATCTGCAGAACACGAAGAAGCAGTAGGATCTACATCTGCAGAACGTGAAGAAGCAGTGGGATCTACAGCTGCAGAACGTGAAGAACCAGTGGTAAATACATCTACAGAACATGAAGAACCAGTGGCATCTACATCTTTAGAACGTGAAGAACCAGTGGCATCTACATCTGCAGAACATGAAGAACCAGTGGCATCTACATCTACAGAACATGAAGAACCAGTGGCATCTACAGAACATGAAGAACCAGTGGCATCTACATCTGTAGAACGTGAATAACCAGTGGCATCTACATCTGCATGACATGAAGAACCAGTGGTATCTACATCTACAGAACATGAAGACCAGTGGCATCTACATCTACAGAACATGAAGAACCAGTGGCATCTATAGAGCATGAAGAACCAGTGGCATCTACATCTGTAGAACGTGAAGAACCAGTGGCATCTACATCTGCAGGACATGAAGAACCAGTGATATCTACATCTACAGAGCATGAAGAACCAGTGGCATCTACATCTACAGAACGTGAAGAACCAGTAGCATCTGCAGAACGTGAAGAACCAGTGGCATCTACATCTGCAGAATGTGAAGAACCAGTGGCATCTACATCTGCAGGACATGAAGAACCAGTGATATCTACATCTACAGAGCATGAAGAACCAGTGGCATCTACATCTACAGAACGTGAAGAACCAGTAGCATCTGCAGAACGTGAAGAACCAGTGGCATCTACATCTGCAGAATGTGAAGAACCAGTGGCATCTACATTTGCAGAACATGAAGAACCAGTGGCATCTACACCTGCATAACACGAATAAGCAGTGGCATCTACATCTACAGAATGTGATGAACCAGTGGCATCTATATCTACAGAACGTGAATAACCAGTGGCATCTACGTCTGCAGAATGTGAAGAACCAGTGGCATCTATATCTACAGAACGTGAAGAACCAGTGGCATCTACATCTACAGAACGTGAAGAACCAGTGGAATCTATATCTACAGAACGTGAAGAACCAGTGTCATCTACATCTACAGAACATTAAGAACCAGTGGCATCTACATCTGCAGAATATTTTACAACTTTTAAAGCCATTTCCCGTGTTTAGTGCACGCGCAGCACAACACGTTTGTACTTACGACGAGACAGACCACCTACAACACAACTCGTTTGTAAGTAGAGGCTGTTCCTACAAGGTCATCGCTCACACACACACAGAGAAAGACCCATATACGTTGAGAGTCATTTTGCTGCAGGACTAGGAGGGAGGCATGGGAGCAGATGAATAGGAGGTGCAGCAGGAATAGAAGGAGAAGGAATAGGAGCAGGATTATGAATAGCAAGGGGGACAGGAAGAATAGGAGCGGCAAGAATAGGAGAGAAGAGGATGAGGAGGAATAGGAGGAGCAGGAGGCTAACGATGAGAAGCAGGAATAGGAGGAGGAAGAGGAGAACGCGGCTCGCACCCGAGGAGGTGGTGGAGGAGGCTCCTCGCTCTGCCCCCACGCCGAGCGGTGGTGGTGGGGGTGAGTGTGGGGGGGTGAGTGTGGTGGGGGGGGTGAGAGTGGGGGGTGAGTGTGGGGGGGTGAGTGTGGGGGGGGGTGAGTGTGGGGGGGGGGGTGAGTGTGGGGGGGGGTGAGTGTGTGGGGGGGTGAGTGTGGGGGGGGTGAGTGTGGGGGGTGAGTGTGGGAGGGGTGAGTGTGGGGGGTGAGTGTGTGGGGGGGGGTGTGGGGGGTGAGTGTGTGGGGGGGAGCAGCAGCAGAGAGGCGAGATACCGCAGGAGACGCTTCACTTCCTGAGCGGCAGTGGCCGTGGTGGTGCAGCTTTCACCGCTCCAAGCCGGTTGGAGGAAGAGGGGGCGGAGTCACGGGTGGGGAGGGGCGGTACCACAAAATTGAGGGCGGAGCTAGAGATAAATGGCCTTTATCTAAGGATGTGAGTGGTCGAGGGCCTTAGAGTGGGCGGTGCCACTTATAGAAGGGGCGGGGCATCTGGTGAGAGGGGCGTGGTTACAGAAATGGGGGAGGGGGTTCAGGAGGTGAGGGGTCTGAGCCGGCCATGACGAAGGGTCGTTGCCCGAAACGTCTCCCCCCCCCCCCCCCCCCGTCAAAGTGGAGTAGTAGTGGTGGTGGTGGTGGCGGCGTTTGGAGTGCTCCGTCTTGGCTGTGCATTCACTTGCCAGTTGTAGACCCCCACCCACCCACTCAGCCACGCTCCGCGTTCGACATTTCGCGCTCCGCCTCTCTCCCGCGGTGTGATCCGGGAGATGTTCACTGCCTCGCGTGGTGTACAGGAGGTCGTGTGTAAGGTGTGTGTGTAGGTGTGTGTGTGTGTAGGTGTGTTTGAGACCAGGAAAGGCACCGGGCAGAGATGATCTCCCAAGCGAAATGCTGAGGGAGGGTGGCGTTTGTGCACAGACTGCCCTATATGACATCATAACAACAGTCCGGACCACTGGACGGGTTCCGCAGGATTGTAAGGATGCCCTGGTGGTCCCCCTCTTTAAGAAGGGAGACCGCACAGATTGTAACAACTACAGGGGCATCTCGTCAGTGTGCCGGGAAAGGTCCTGGCAAGGATTATTCAACATCGCCTTGCTAGGCACGCTGAGGAAAGGCTTGCGGAGCCCCAATGCGGTTTCAGGAAAGGGCGGTCCTGCACAGATGCCATATTTTCTGTCCGTCTGCTACAGCAGAGGTGTAGGGAATTCCAACACGGCCTACATCTCTGCTTTATTGACCTGGTCAATGCCTATAATACCATCAGTAGGCCTGGGCTCTGGGTTGTTGTTTGTGCTTTCGGAGTCCCTGACCCTCTGCTCACGATCATTAAGGACCTTCATGATGGTGAGCGGGCCCAGGTAAAACTACGTGGCCGGGAATCCGAGCCATTCCCTGTACACCTTGGGGTGCGACAGGGATGTCCTCTGGCTCCCACATTATTTAACATCTATTTTGACCACGTAGTTAGTGAAGCCTTCAATAGCTGTACCGAGGGAATTTCCATTTGTTACAGATATAATGGGAGGCTGATCGATGCCCGGGTGTGATCAAGGGATGGCTCTCTATTGGTCTACCACGTTATGTATGCCGATGATTTGGTAATAGCTGCTCATTCAGAGGAGGAGTTGGAGACGCTGCTGCTGAGACTGGAGCGTGCCACTAAGAGGTGGGGCCTTACCATCAGCCCCACCAAAACTAAGCACCTGCCTGGGTATTTTGTACCAACGGACACTCCACCCCCACAACTCCCAATCGGTGATGGGGCAGTAGTGGAGAGAGTGGAGAGTTTCCCATACCTGGGCAGTGTGCTCATGACCGGCTCCGGTTTAACAGCAGAGGTCTCACTCCGAATTAGTCGAGCGGCAATATCTTTTCATCGGTTGCGTAACGCTGTGTGGAAGCTACCTGGTCTGTCGCTCCCCACGAAGCTTCAGGTCTTCTCGGCCACAGTCATTCCCTCCCTTCTCTACGCTTGCGAAACGTGGACCCCCCTAATGGAGCATCTTTGCCGGTTAGAAATATTTAGGCTGGCCTGCCTACGATCCATCCTGGGTTTAACCAGGCTGGATTGTGTGAGGAGCTCACAAATCCATAAAAGATCTGGAGCTGAGTGGACTTGCTGATGACTGATACCAGCAGTGTCAAGATCCGCCTCTGTGGAGGAGACTCGTGAAGGACGCTACTGTGCAGTTGGAGGCAGTCGCCGTCCAACAACAACGGAGGGCAGAGGAGCGACGCTCACAACGATCTGTGTTTTAGCCGGGCAGCTAAACACAGCAAGTTGGCACAGTAGAGGGCACAGGTGGTGCATCGGCCACTCATTTCAGTCAGTCGACCCATGGCACCTGCTGGGTCTGCCCCGTGACCTCATGCCAGCAGGCGTTCGACACTTCACGTGGCCTCAATGTACTCGTTCACTGGCACAAGCGCCATGGTGACATCACCGCCACTTAGTGGGTGAGTGGGTGGGTGGGCGAGTGGGTGAGTGTGAGCAGGTGAGTGGGTGGGTGAGTGTAACGAATTGGCATGATCTGTTTACGTGACAAACCTGACTAATTGTCTGTGTCGGGTGGTGGCAGGTTTAACGACGCAGCATTTATATTTCCGCGATCTAAGAGCCATCCATAAATGACGTCACGCGATTTTGGACGATGTTTTACCCCCCCCCCCCCCGTCACACGGCGTCACAAAAAGTCAGACCCCCCTCAAATATGACGTCACATAGCTCTGCCCCACCCCCCCCCCCCCGACAACCATATTTCCGTTTTGAAAATAAAACATGCTTCAAATCGCTTTAAACTATTGTCATTGTAGTGAGTATTTAATGAGACGCTGCACTCTGATGTTGTTGTAGAAAACATTTATTAAAAATTCTATTTAATTAAGTAAAACGTGTTGTTTATATTTATTTAAAGTTGCGCATTTTGATGTGATGTCACATTTCTCAAACCCCCCCCCAATCGTCACACATCACAAATGTCTGACTCCTCCCCCCCTCCTAGGTGCGTGACGTCATTTATGGACGGCCCCTAACCCTAAAAAACCTGTATTGTCGATATTGGTCATCAAAGCCTCCGACGTGTTAAAATGTCGCCTCACGAGTCTTTCTCGAAACACTTTCATGCACTTGGACAAGGTGGTGGACCGTAGGTTGGTGCAACGTCTCCGATAACCGTGCCTATTCCATTCAGAAGATACTTCACGAGAAATCCCGATGAGCTATAAAGCTCTTTAATCACATGTCCAGTAGAGGCCACATGGACAACCACAGCCTGCGGCGGCCCACCCAGCTCCATCGGCCCACCCGGCCCCGTCGGCTCCATCGGCTCCCTCCGTCGGCTCCCCTGGCACCCGCACAAACGGCCTCGCCAGCCCCGGGAGCGCGAGCCTCAGGCGGCCATCAGTGGAGAGCACGGAGCTCCCTCAGGGCAGCAGTGGACGGAGCACGGCTCTCCCTCGGGGCAGCAGTGGAGAGAGCGCGGCTCTCCCTCAGGGCAGCAGTGGAGAGAGCGCGGCTCTCCCTTAAGCCAGCAGTGGAGAGCACGTTAAATTATATACTATTATACTATATTATACACTACATTATACACTATTCTACATTCTACACTACTATACTACATAATACACTACTGCACTATATTATACACTACTGCACTATATTATACACTACTACATTACATTATACTACGACACTACGTTATACACTACTACACTACATTGTACACTACTACACTACATTATACACCACTATACTATACACTACTAGACTACATTATATACTACTATACTACAATATACACTACTATACTACATTTTATACTGTTACACTACTGTACAGGGACTGCCCCGACTTACAAACGAGTTGGGTTTGCAGGAGGCTCTGTCTGTTCGCAAGTCCCAACTTTACTCCTGTCGACTGCAAAGGTATTCTACGGCATGTACGGTACTACTATACATGATACACTACTATACAAAAATATACACTACATTACTATATACTACACTGTATTATAAACTACACTACATTATATACATGCCACTGGTTCTTCACGTTCTGTAGATGCCACCGATTCTTCACGTTCTGTAGATGAAGATGCCACTGGTTCTTCACGTTCTATAGATATAGATGTCATCTACAGAATGGGCAGTGTTGAGTCTATGAGGCAGTGTTGAGTCTATGGTGCAGTGCTGAGCCTATGGTGCAGTGTTGAGTCGATGGTGCAGTGTTGAGTCGATGGTGCAGTGTTGAGTTGATGGTGCAGTATTGAGTTAATGGCGCAGTACGCGTCACTCAGACGATTCATCTCGTGGGTCAGCAACGCTTTCACGCACATCCAGACGAGAAGGTGTTCGCCAACCCGCGATTCGGGGCAATGCGCGTTTATTTGATCAGTGAGCAAAAAAACCACGCAAACTCCAGTCATGCTCGCATGAGCAGAATCGGCAGCGGCTTTTGGGCGGCCATCGAACGAAGACGGCGGTCGACGCATCGCGTGGCGCTTTCAGATGCGCTGCTTATGCGGCCGTCTGGAACGCTCTTCCGATATTAGGAAGCCACTGGAGCCAAACTACGCACTTTTGAATCATCTAGATTGACAAACTAATTTGTTTAGAACTGCTTGTTGTTGTGTTTAGGTTGTTGCCCCCCCCCCCCCCCTTACCTCTGATTATCGCGGTTGGCTACGCACGGTGCAAAAGAAGTTCAACATACATACAAAGCAACTAAACTAATTTAACATTGTTTTAATGGCTTGGTGAGCACTGCATGAATAGTTTAGTACTGAACCACCAAATTCCCACTCTCGTCCATCGCATGACCGGCTTTGTTCACGTATCCGTGTCTTACGGCGCAACTGTTCCTAGCCAGTAAATGCTGCTATCCAGACTACCATCCTCAACACGGCACGAAGCGCCTCGAAACTCACCGAACACCAAACTCTCACGCTCTCGTGGGTTCAGACACGGCGCTCCCTTCCCGCTCGTGGCGCGGCTCGACAAATCTCGCGGTTTCGACCGCGAGATTCCTGCTGGACAGCGTCGTGACTGCACTGCTCGCGGTGACAACGCTGCTGCGGAACAAACATGGCGCCGTCTCTTCTCGCCCCATCTCGTCTCCCCCTGTCTCGTCTCCAGTGGTGTGTACTGTGTGCGGATACCACGTGTACAGTATTGTACACGGATACCATGTGTACAGTATTTATTTCTTTAATTCTCTACATTTAACGAACAATTTAGATTTTTGTACTTAATAAAATAATAAAACGTAGCACCCCCGCCGTGGTGGGCGAGGGTTTCCTGTACCGCTTCCCTTTCACCCGCACTCGGTTCAAGCAGAAAAGACCTCCACCGCCGCACCTCCGGTTAGCTACGTACGGTGGTGTGCGAAAGAAGTTCAACGTACACACACATACAAGCATACGTAACAATTCAACCACAATGCAGTTGACGGTTCCTCCTTCCCTGCTGATTTAAAAGTTCCTGACTCTTTGCCATTCGTGCTGCGCATTGTCCGCGGTGCATTGTGGGTTGGGCTACCGTGTGCCCGCCCGCTCCACACCACCGCGATTTTGCTTTCGCGCGCCATGTTGGAATTTTTTTTTTGGTGGGAAAGCATCTACCACTGTCAAGTGAGGGAGCAGACCTGCGTGGTAGAATTCGGCCTCTTGAAAGTGTAACTGGGATTCCATTTAACACGTAGCAGCAGGAGGCTTTCGCAATCAATGTTATCCATTATGGAGGTTTTTGGGTTTAGATCGCCTAAATGTGTCGTTAAACCCGCCACCACCCGACACAGCCAATTAGATACGGGGTTAACCACTTCCCCCCCTACACCACCTCTAGCCTTTGCACCTGATTGGCTAACAAGTGATAACATCACATGTATCCCTCTATTTAAGAGCGAAGCAGGAGGAGGATTTTATCCGCAACTCTGTTGCTATCGCCCGATGATGCCGGTTGTTGTTGTAATTACTGGAGATACATCACGGCTACTCGAATTGTAAATGTTGCAGTGAGTTTACTCTCCAACACACAGCAACCGGTTAGTGCTGAACTAGTAACTAATTGGCGCCACGTTTTGTTTACGTTACAAACCCCTTCACTTAATTGGCTGTGTGGTGGGGTGGCGGGTTTAACGACACATTTATATTTACGCGCTATGCCCCAAAAACCTCTATAATGGGATTCCATTGATGCAAGCAGGTTTCCCAGATGACTCAAAGGTATATTTGATAAATAAACACCAGAGTGTGATGAATAGGTGGTAATGTGCATGGGAACACGATTACATCTGATTATTGATGAATTCAACCAAAAACGTGCTTCTGCAGCTTCCCAATGTCAGCAACGGGCGATAGCAGCCAAGCGTCCAGTGGCCGTCAAGCCAAGGAGTTTAAAGCAATGCCTCTGAACGTTAAACGGCCCACGCTCAGCTTCAAGACTCGTAGTGATTAAGACACTTGATGTGAAAGTTGAGGTTCGAAGGGTCTGCAAAGTTCCTCCCGCACACGAAGCACTTGTACGGCTTCTGCACGTTGTGCGTCTTCGTGTGCTTGTCGCGGGCCGACAGGCTCACGAAGCTCTTCTCGCAGATCGGGCACTGGTGCGGCTTCTCGCCCGTGTGGGTCATCATGTGGATCTTCAGCGCCGACAGGTGTACGAACTCCTTCTCGCACAGGGCGCACCTGTGCGACTTCCTGTCCGAGTGGGTCCTCATGTGACTCTTGAGGGTCGAAAAATGCGTGAAGGTCTTCGCGCACAGGTCGCACTTGTGTGGCTTCTCGCCCGTGTGGGTCTTCATGTGGATGTTGAGTGTGGATATCTGCTTGAAGTCCTTCCCGCATACGGAGCACTTGTGCGGCTTCTCTCCCGTGTGGCCCATCATGTGATTCTTAAGTGACTTCGACTCGATGAAGTCTTTGCCGCACGTGGGGCACTGGTGGGGCTTCACGCCCGTGTGGATCTTAGCGTGGCTCCTGAGGTTGGAGATACGCGCGAAGGTCTTCCCGCACGTCGCACACTCGTGCGGCTTCTCGCCCGTGTGGATCAGAAGGTGGCTCTTGAGCGTCGACGAGTCCGTGAAGGTCTTCCCGCACACCGAGCACATGTACGGCTTCTCGTCCGTGTGCTTCATCATGTGCCTCTTGAGGGCGAACGACTCAATGAATCCCTTTTCGCACAGCGAGCACCGATACGGCTTCTCCCCCGTGTGGATCATCGCGTGGCTCTTGAGGGCTGATGACTTTCGGAAACCCTTCCCACACACGGAGCACTCGAGGGGCCGCTCACCGGTGTGCGTCATCGTGTGGCTCTTGAGGCGCGACAAGCAGGAGAATCCCTTGCCGCACAGGGAGCACCGGTGGGACATCTTCTCGTCGCGGGCCTTCTGGTCGATCGGTGAATTCCTACGACTGCTGTCGTCCTCCAGGACCACCTCAATCTCGGCCACGTCCGACGAAATCACCCCGTCTCTCCGTGAGCTCCGTGGCCCTCTCCGAAGCCTCCCTTTGGAACCGCCGGCCTCGAAGGCTTCCTCCTCATCGTGGTCGTCATCATCCCCCTCGTTGGAATGAAGGTCTCGCTCATCGGATTTAAGATCCTCATCCTCACTACTAAGGTCCTCTCCTTCGGACTCAGAGTCTTCTTCTTTCAAACGAATGTCGGATTCTTCCTGACCTAGAAGGCGAAACGTTGAGAGTTGAGCCTCAGTGCGAAGTTACACACGGGACAACGTCGGCTCGTGATGCGTACGCAGCAGAGGGAATGCTAAGAGATGGACAAGCAAGCTAATGTTCAGATGATTTTTCAATTATTAGTATTTAGAGTATTACAACCGACAAAGGATTTAAAATCATGAAGTAGATGGGGTACAGTCGAGTCTCATCACCGTAATCTTAGCAGGAGACAAAGACACTTACTATCATCGGTGTCTTCACTCTTAACTTTCACCCGTGGCCACGTCTCATTCCTCGGCTTTTCTTGACCCGCTTTCCCGTCGCGTGGCTCCACCGGCAAAGAGGCTGCCATCTCATCTGCCCAAAATGAGAGCACAGCAGAACTACTGGACATCTGTGAACACTAATGGACATCCGTGAACACTACTGGACATCCGTGAACACTATTGGACATCCGTGAACACTATTGGACATCTGTGAACACGACGGACATCCGTAAACACTACTGGACATCTGTGAAAACTACTGGACATCCGTGAACAATATTGGACATCCGTGAAAAAGAGCTTTATAGCAAGGAGAGACTTGTAATTTATATGACTACATTACCCCACCCCCCTTCTTCTCTGGTCTTCGCACCTGATAGGCTCACCACAGTAATGATGACACCACTCTTACTCCCCCTCTAAAGCCAGAAGACTTCTTCACAATTGATGGCTAATCACCAACGAAACGTCACCAGCTACTCGAATGCGTAAATGTTGCTGCGGGTTTAACTCTCCAAACACACAACACAACCAGTTTAGTGCTGAACTAAGTAACTAATCAGCCACGTGTTGTTTCGGTGACACAACCCCCCCCCCCCCTCACTGATTGGTCATGTCGGGTGGTGGTGGTGATGGTGGGTTTAACGACACAACGTTTATATCCACACGATCTAACTGAAACAACAAAACGCCCAAACGTTTATTATGGATATTGGTCGCAAAAGCCCACGACTACCCCTACGACTACTACTACTATGAGTTAAACTGACTCAATGCTAATGCCGCCTACTCGCCCCGCAACTTTGCAGCCTGAAGGGAAAAGTGCGGGGAAGAAATCGCTCACCGGCGGCGGCATGAACATCCTCGCGCTGAGCATCTCCTCCAAGGGACGGCGTCTCACGGCCGGGGTCCCCTCCAGCGTCTCGCCCGACGGGCGACTGCCCCTCCTCGGACGACGGAGCCTCGGACATGCCCTCGTCGCTGACCGTGATGCAGAACGTGAAGAACCAGTGGCATCTACATCTGCAAAACATGAAGAACCAGTAGCATCTACATCTGCAGAACGTGAAGAACCAGTGGCATCTACATTTGCAGAACATGAAGAACCAGTGGCATCTACAACTGCAGAACACGAAGAAGCATTGGCATCTACATCTGCAGAACGTGAAGAACCAGTGGCATCTACAGAACGTGAAGAACCAGTGGCATCTACGTCTGCAGAATGTGAAGAACCAGTGGCATCTACATCTACAGAACATGAAGAACCAGTGGCATCTACATCTGCAGAACGTGAAGAACCAGTGGCATCTACATCTACAGAACGTGAAGAACCAGTGGCATCTACGTCTGCAGAATGTGAAGAACCAGTGGCATCTACATCTACAGAGCATGAATAACCAGTGGCATCTACATCTACAGAACGTGAAGAACCAGTAGCATCTACATCTACAGAGCATGAACAACCAGTGGCATCTACATCTTAAAAACGTGAAGAAGCAGTGGCATCTACGTCTACATAACATGAAGAAGCAGTGGCATCTACATCTGCAGAATATTTTACAACTTTTAAAGCCATTTCCCGTGTTTAGTGCATGCGCAGCACAATACGTTTGTACTTACGACCAGACAGACCACCTGCAACACAACTCGTTTGTAAGTAGAGGCAGTTCCTACAAGGTCATTGCACACGCGCACACAGAAAAAGACCCATATACGTTGAGTCATTTGGCTGCAGGAATAGAAGGGGGGCATGGGAGCAGATGAAGAGGAAGTGCAGCAGGAATAGAAGGATAGAGGAGCAGGAATAGGAGGAAGATGACGATGAGAAGCAGCAGCAAGAGGAGGAGGACGAAGAGGAGGAAGATGAGGATGAGGGAGGAATAGGGAGAAGAGGAAGAAGAGGAGGAGGCTTTTCGCACCCGCAGAGGAGGAAGAGGAGGCTCCTCGCTCTGCCCCCACGCCGAGCGGTGGTGGGGTGAGTGTGGGGGAGGGTGAGTGTGTGGGGGGGGGCAGCAGCAGAGAGGCGAGATACCGCAGGAGACGCTTCACTTGTTTAGCGGCAGTGGCCGTGGTGGTGCAGATCTCACCGCTCCAAGCCGGTTGGAGGAACAGGGGGCGGAGTCACGGGTGGGGGAGGGGCGGTACCACAAAATTGAGGGATGGGCTAGAAATAAATGGCCTCCTTTATCTAAGGATGTGAGTGGGCGAGGGCCACGAATGAGGGGCGACGAATGAGAGGGGCGGACCCACGGAATGGGGGTGGGGCCACGAATAAAGTGGGCGGTGCCACTTATAGAAGGGGCGGGGCATCTGGTGAGAGGGGCGTGGTTACGGGAATAGGGGAGGGGATTCAGGAGGTGAGGGGACTGAGCTGGCCATGACGAAGGGTCGTTGCCCGAAACGTCTCCCCCCCCCCCCCCCCGTCAAAGTGGAGTAGTGGTGGTGGTGGCGGCGTTTGGAGTGCTCCGTCTTGGCTGTGCATTCACTTGCCAGTTGTAGACCCCCACCCACCCACTCAGCCACGCTCCGCGTTCGACATTTCGTGCTCCGCCTCTCTCCCGCGGTGTGATCCGGGAGATGTTCACTGCCTCGCGTGGTGTACAGGAGGTCGTGTGTAAGGTGTGTGTGTAGGTGTGTTTGAGACCAGGAAAGGCACCGGGCAGAGATGATCTCCCAAGCGAAATGCTGAGGGAGGGTGGCGTTTGTGCACAGAATGCCCTATATGACATCATAACAACAGTCCGGACCACTGAACGGGTTCCGCAGGATTTGAAGGATGCCCTGGTGGTCCCCCTCTTTAAGAAGGGAGACCGCACAGACTGTAACAACTACAGGGGCATCTCCTCAGTGTACCGGGAAAGGTCCTGGCAAGGATTATTCAACATCGCCTTGCTCGGCACGCTGAGGAGAGGCTTGCGGAGCCCCAATGCGGTTTCAGGAAAGGGTGGTCCTGTACAGATGCCATATTTTCTGTCCGTCTGCTACAGCAGAGGTGTAGGGAATTCGAACACGACCTACATCTCTGCTTTATTGACCTGGTCAAGGCCTATGATACCATCAGTAGGCCTGGGCTCTGGGTTGTTCTTCGTGCTTTCGGAGTCCCTGACCCTCTGTTCACGATCATTAAGGGCCTTCATGATGGCGAGCGGGCCCGGGTAAAACTACGTGGCCGGGAATCCGAGCCATTCTCTGTACACCTTGGGGTGCGACAGGAATGTCCTCTGGCTCCCACATTATTTAACATCTATTTTGACCACGTAGTTCGTGAAGCCTTCAATAGCTGTACCGAGGGAATTTCCATTTGTTACAGATATAATGGGAGGCTGATCGATGCCCGGGTGTGATCAAGGGATGGCTCTCTATTGGTCAACCACGTTATGTATGCCGGTGATTTGGTAATAGCTGCTCATTCAGAGGAGGAGTTGGAGATGCTGCTGCTGAGACTGGAATGTGCCACTAAGAGGTGGGGCCTGACCATCAGCCCCACCAAAACTAAGCACCTGCCTGGGTATTTTGTACCATCGGACACTCCACCCCCACAACTCCCAATCAGTGATGGGGCAGTAGTGGAGAGAGTGGAGAGTTTCCCATACCTGGGCAGTGTGCTCATGACCGGCTCCAGTTTAACAGCAGAGGTCTCACTCCGAATCAGTCGAGCGGCAATATCTTTCCATCGGTTGCGTAACGCTGTGTGGAAGCTACCTGGTCTGTCGCTCCGCACGAAGCTTCAGGTCTTCTCGGCCACAGTCATTCCCTCCCTTCTCTACGCTTGCGAAACGTGGACCCTCCTAATGGAGCATCTTCGCCGGTTAGAAATATTTAGGCTGTTTAACACGTAGGCTTTCGCGACCAATATTATTCATAATCAACGTTTTTGGGTTTAGATCGCGTTATTTATAAATGTGTTGTAACCCTCCACCACCCGACACGGCCATTAAGTAAAAAAGTATCACGTTGACAAAAGACAAATTAGTTCACTGCTTTAGCCCACCGGTGTGTTGAAGCGCGAAACCACAACATTTACAATTTGAGTACGACGTTTCGCTGGTAATTGCATCCAGCATCATCGGGCAATTCGCCAGAATGGTGAGGCTCTGCTGTGTCTGAGTTAATGATGACGTCACCCTGCTGCTGCTCTATATAAGAACGGGAGTCATTGTAGTGAGTATTTAATGTGGCGCTGCACTCTGATGTTGTAGAAAACATTTATTAAAAAGGCTATTTAATTAAGTAAAACGTGTTGTCTGTCTATATGTATTTAAAGTTGCGCATTTTGATGTGATGTCACATTTCTCAAACCCCCCCCCCCAATCGTCACACATCACAAATGTCTAACGCCAGTGTTGAGTCTAGGGTGCAGTGCTTCGTCTATGGTGCAGTGATGAGTCTATGGTGCAGTGCTGAGCCCATGGTGCAGTGTTGAGTCGATGGTGCAGTGTTGAGTTGATGGTGCAGTACGCGTCACTCAGACGATTCATCTCGTGGGTCAGCAACGCTTTCACGCACATCCAGACGAGGTGTTCGCCAACCCGCGATTCGGGGAAATGCGCGTTTATTTGATTGGTGAGTAAAAAAAACCATCACGCAAACTCCAGTCATGCTCGCAGGAGCAGAATTGGCAGCGGCTTTTGGGCGGTCATCGAACGAAGACGGCGGTCGACGCATCGCGTGGCGCTTTCAGATGCGCTGCTTATGCGGCCGTCTGGAACGCTCTTCCTTCCGATGTTAGGAAGCCACTGGAGCCAAACTACGCACTTTTGAATCATCTAGATTGACAAACTAATTTGTTTAGAACTGCTTGTTGTTGTTGTGTTTAGGTTGTTGCCCCCCCCCCCCTTACCTCTGATTATCGCGGTTGGCTATGCTCGGTGCGAAAGAAGTTCAACATACATACAAAGCAACTAAACTACACCATTGGAACCTCATTTGCCAGAAGAAAAAATATGATAATTGTTTTTTTACCCTTTTATCTGGCAACAAGAAGTCATGTTTGCATAGACCACAATACCTGCAGTCATAATGCAAACAAAAAAACATAACTTTGATAATGTATGCACTGTCCTTGGAAGTTGATTGGTCCACACCCGAGACAGCTTTCCTTAGAGCCAGTCTCACATGGTGTTGGACAAGGCGTCACCCCACCTCTAGCCTTTGCACCTGATTGGCTAACAAGTGATAACATCACATGTATCCCTCTATTTAAGAGCGAAGCAGGAGGAGGATTTTATCCGCAACTCTGTTGCTGTCGCTCGATGATGCCGGTTGTTGTAATTACTGGAGAAACATCACGGCTACTCGAATTGTAAATGTTGCAGTGGGTTTACTCTCCAACACACAGCAACCGGTTAGTGCTGAATTAGTAACTAATTGGCACCACGTTTTGTTTACGTGACAAACCCCTTCACTTAATTGGCTGTCGGGGGGTGGCGGGTTTAATGACACATTTATATTTAGGCGCTCTGCCCCAAAAACCTCTATGATGAGATTCAATTGATGCAAGCAAGTTTCCCAGATGACTCAAAGGTATACTTGATAAATAAACACCGGAGTGGGATGAATAGGTGGTAAGAATGTGCATGGGAACACGATTAAATCTTATTATGGATGAATTCAACCAAAAACGTGCTTCTGCAGCTTCCCAATGTCAGCAACGGGCGATAGCAGCCAAGCCTCCAGTGAATGTCAAGCCAAGGAGTTTAAAGTGACGCCTCTGAACGTTAAACGGCCCACGCTCGGCTTCAAGACTCGTAGTGATTAAGACACTTGATGTGAAAGTTGAGGTTCGAAGGGTCTGCAAAGTTCCTCCCGCACACGAAGCACTTGTACGGCTTCTACACGTTGTGCGTCTTCGTGTGCTTGTCGCGGGCCGACAGGCTCACGAAGTTCTTCTCGCAGATCGGGCACTGGTGCGGCTTCTCGCCCGTGTGGGTCATCATGTGGATCTTCAGCGCCGACAGGTGTACGAACTCCTTCTCGCACAGGGCGCACCTGTGCGACTTCCTGTCCGAGTGGGTCCTCATGTGACTCTTGAGGGTCGAAAAAAGCGTGAAGGTCTTCGCGCACAGGTCGCACTTGTGTGGCTTCTCGAACGTGTGGGTCTTCATGTGGATGTTGAGTGTGGATATCTGCTTGAAGTCCTTCCCGCATATGGAGCACTTGTGCGGCTTCTCTCCCGTGTGGCCCATCATGTGATGCTTAAGTGACTTCGACTCGATGAAGTCCTTGCCGCACGTGGGGCACCGGTGGGGCTTCACGCCCGTGTGGATCTTAGCGTGGCTCCTGAGGTTGGAGATACGCGCGAAGGTCTTCCCGCACGTCGCGCACTCATGCGGCTTCTCGCCCGTGTGGATCAGAAAGTGGCTCTTGAGCGTCGACAAGTCCGTGAAGGTCTTCCCGCACACCGAGCACAAGTGCGGCTTTTCTCCCGTGTGGCCCATCATGTGATTCTTAAGTGACTTCGACTCGATGAAGTCCTTGCCGCACATGGGGCACTGGTGGGGCTTCACGCCCGTGTGGATCTTAGCGTGGCTCCTGAGGTTGGAGATACGCGCGAAGGTCTTCCCGCACGTCGCGCACTCGTGCGGCTTCTCGCCCGTGTGGATCAGAAAGTGGCTCTTGAGCGTCGACGAGTCCGTGAAGGTCTTCCCGCACACAGAGCACATGTGCGGCTTTTCTCCCGTGTGGCCCATCATGTGATTCTTAAGTGACTTCGACTCGATGAAGTCCTTGCCGCACGTGGGGCACTGGTGGGGCTTCACGCCCGTGTGGATCTTAGCGTGGCTCCTGAGGTTGGAGATACGCGCGAAGGTCTTCCCGCACGTCGCGCACTCGTGCGGCTTCTCGCCCGTGTGGATCAGAAGGTGGCTTTTGAGCGTCGACAAGTCCGTGAAGGTCTTCCCACACACCGAGCACCAGTGCGGCCTCTCGTCCGTGTGCTTCATCATGTGCCTCTTGAGGGCAAACGACTGGATGAATCCCTTTTCGCACAGCGAGCACCGATACGGCTTCTCCCCCGTGTGGATCATCGCGTGGCTCTTGAGGGCCGACGGCTTTCGGAAACCCTTCCCACACACGGAGCACTCGAGGGGCCGCTCTCCGGTGTGCGTTATTGTGTGGCTCTCGAGGCGCGACAGGCAGGAGAATCCCTTGCCGCACAGGGAGCACCGGTGGGACATCTTCTCGTCGCGGGCCTTCTGGTCGATCGGTGAATTCTTACGACTCCTGTCGTCCTCCAGGACCACCTCAATCTCGGCCACGTCCGACGAAATCACCCCGTCTCTCCGTGAGCTCCGTGGCCCTCTCCGAAGCCTCCCTTTGGAACCGCCGGCCTCGAAGGCTTCCTCCTCATCATGGTCGTCATCATCCCCCTCGTTGGAATGAAGGTCTCGCTCATCGGATTCAAGATCCTCATCCTCACTACTTAGGTCCTCTCCTTCGGACTCAGAGTCTTCTTCTTTCAAACGAATGTCGGATTCTTCCTGACCTAGGAGGCGAAACGTTGAGAGTTGAGCCTCAGTGCGAAGTCACACATGGGACAACGTTGGCTCGTGATGCGTACGACGAAGAGTTGGACAAGCAAGCTAATGTTCAGATGATTTTTAAATTATTAGTATTTAGAGTATTACAACTGACAAAGGATTTAAAATCATGAAGTAGATGGGGGACAGTCGAGTCTCATCACCGTAATCTTAGCAGGAGACAAAGACACTTACTATCATCGGTGTCTTCACTCTTAACTTTCACCCGTGGCCACGTCTCATTCCTCGGCTTTTCTTGACCCGCTTTCCCGTCGCGTGGCTCCACCGGCAAAGAGGCTGCCATCTCATCTGCCCAAAATGAGAGCACAGCAGAACTACTGGACATCTGTGAACACTACTGGACATCCGTGAACACTAATGGACATCCGTGAACACTATTGGACATCCGTGAACACTATTGGACATCTGTGAACACTACTGGACATCCGTGAACACTATTGGACATCTGTGAACACTACTGGACATCCGTGAACACTATTGGACATCCGTGAACACTATTGGACATCTGTGAACACTACTGGACATCCGTGAACACTATTGGACATCCGTGAACACGACGGACATCCGTAAACACTACTGGACATCTGTGAAAACTACTGGACATCCGTGAACAATATTGGACATCCGTGAAAAAGAGCTTTATAGCAAGGAGAGACTTGTAATTTATATGACTACATTACCCCCACCCCCCTTCTTCTCTGGTCTTCACACCTGATAGGCTCACCAGTGATGATGACACCACGTTTACTCCCCCTCTAAGGCCGGAAGACTTCTTCACAATTGTTGGCTAATCGCCTGATGGAGGCTGCTGGCAGCTGCTGGCTGTTTTTGTAATCACCAACGAAACGTCACCAGCTACTCGAATGCATCAATGTTGCTGCAGGTTTAACTCTCCCAACACACAACAACACAACCGGTTTAGTGCTGAACTAAGTAACTAATCGGCCACTTGTTGTTTCGGTGACACAAACCCCCCCCCCCTCACTGATTGGCCATATCTGGTGGTGGTGGGTTTAACGACACAATGTTTATATCCACGCGATCTAACCGAAACAACAAAACTCCCAAACCTTTATTATGGATATTGGTCACGTAGGCCCACGACTACCACTACGACTACTACTACTACGCATTAAACTGACTCAATGCTAATGCCGCCTGCTCGCCCCGCAACTTTGCAGCCTGAAGGGAAAAGTGCGGGGAAGAAATCGCTCACCGGCGGCGGCATGAACATCCTCGCGCTGCACATCTCCTCCAAGGGACAGCGTCTCACGGCCGGGGTCCCCTCCAGCGTCTCGCCCGACGGGCGACTGCCCCTCCTCGGACGACGGAGCCTCGGACATGCCCTCGTCACTGACCGTGATGCAAAATGTGAAGAACCAGTGGCATCTGCAGAACATAAAGAAGCAGTGGCATCTACATCTGCAGAACATGAAGAACCAGTGGCATCTACATCTGCAGAACGGGAAGAACCATTAGCATCTACATCTGCAGAACATGAAGAACCAGTGGCATCTACATCTGCAGAACGTGAAGCAGTGGAATCTACATCTGCAGAACGTGAAGAACCAGTGGCATCTACATCTGCTGAACGTGAAGAACCAGTCACATCGACATCTGCAGAACGTGAGGAACCAGTGGCATCTACATCTACAGAACGTGAAAAACCAGTGGCATCTACATCTGGAGAACGTGAAGAACCAGTGACATCTACATCTGCAGAACGTGAAGAACCAGTGGTATCTACATCTGCAGAACATGAAGAACCAGTGACATCTACATCTGCAGAACGTGAAGAACCAGTGGCATCTACATCTACAAAACATGGAGAACCAGTGATATCTACATCTACAGAACATGAGGAACCAGTGGCATCTACTTCTACAGAACATGAAGAACCAGTGGCATCTACATCTACAGAACGTGAACCAGTGGCATCTACATCTACAGAACGTGAACAACCAGTGGCATCTGCATCTTCAAAACATGAATAACCAGTGGCATCTACATCTTAAAAACGTTAACAAGCAGTGGCATCTACATCTGCAGAATATTTTACAACTTTTAAAGCCATTTCCCGTGTTTAGTGCATGCGCAGCACAACACGTTTGTACTTACGACCAGACAGACCACCTGCAACACAACTCGTTTGTAAGTAGAGGCTGTTCCTACAAAGTCATTGCACACGCGCACACAGAAAAAGACCCATATACGTTGAGAGTCATTTGGCTGCAGGAATAGAAGGGAGGCATGGGAGCAGATGAAGAGGAAGTGCAGCAGGAATAGAAGGATAGAGGAGCAGGAATAGGAGGAAGATGACGATGAGAAGCAGCAGCAAGAGGAGGAGGACGAAGAGGAGGAAGATGAGGATGAGGGAGGAATAGGGAGAAGAGGAAGAAGAGGAGGCTTTTCGCACCCGCAGAGGAGGTGGAGGAGGCTCCTCACTCTGCCCCCACGCCGAGCGGTGGTGGGGTGAGTGTGGGGGAGGGTGAGTGAGTGTGTGGGGGTGGTGCAGCAGCAGCAGAGAGGCTAGATACCGCAGGAGACGCTTCACTTGCTGAGCGGCAGTGGAGGCGGTTGGTGCAGCTCTCTCCGCTCCAAGCCGATTGGAGGAGTGGGTGGTGCCACTTCTAAAAGGGGAGGGGCGGGGCTACGAAATGGGGGAGGGGGTTCAGGAGGTGACGAGTCTCTGAGCCGGCCATGACGAAGGGTCGTTGCCCGAAACGTCTCCCCCCCCCCCCCCGTCAAAGTGGAGTAGTGGTGGTGGTGGTGGAGTAGTGGTGGTGGTGGCGGCGTTTCGAGTGCTCCGTCTTGGCTGTGCATTCACTTGCCAGTTGTAGACCCCCACCCACCCACTCAGCCACGCTCCGCGTTCGACGTTTCGCGCTCCGCCTCTCTCCCGCGGTGTGATCCGGGAGATGTTCACCGCCTCGCCTGGTGTACAGGAGGTCGTGTGTAAGGTGTGTGTGTGTAGTGTGTGTAGGTGTGTGTAAGTGTGTGTGTGTAGGTGTGTATTTAAGGTGTGTGTGTAAATGTGTGTGTGTAGGTGTGTGTTTAAGGTGTGTGTAAGTGTGTATGTGTAGGTGTGTGTGCCGGTGTGTGTAGGTGTAGGTGTGTGTATGTAGGTTTGTGTGTGGCCTCAAGGTGCACATGGCCTGGCACAAGCGTCGTGGTGACGTCACCGCCACTTAGTGGCGAATGGCGGTTGTTTGTGTGTAGGTGTGTGTAGGTGTGTGTAGGTGAGTGTATGTAGGTGTGTGCAGGTGTGTGTGTGTGTAGGTGTGTGTAGGTGTGTGTGTGTACGTGCTGCTCACTCAGAGGAGGAGTTGGAGGCGCAGCTGCTGAAACTGGAGCGTGCCACTAAGAGGTGGGGCCTTACCTTCAGCCCCACCAAAACTAAGCACCTGCCTGGGTATTTTGTACCATCGGACACTCCACCCCCACAACTCCCAATCGGTGATGGGGCAGTTGTGGAGAAAGTGGAGAGTTTCCCATACCTGGGCAGTGTGCTCATAACCGGCTCCGGTTCAACAACAGAGGTCTCACTCCGAATCAGTCAGGCGGCAATATCTTTTCATCGGTTGTGTAACACTGTGTGGAAGCTACCTGGTCTGTCGCTCCGCACGAAGCTTCGGGTCTTCTCGGCCATGGTCATTCCCTCGCTTCTCTACGCTTGCGAAACGTGGACCCCCCTAATGGAACATCTTCGCCGGTTAGAAACATTTAGGCTGGCCTGCCTACGATCCATCCTGGATTTAACCAGGCTGGATTGTGTGAGGAGCTCACAAATCCTTGAAAGATCTGGACAAAGTCCCATCGGTGAGCTCCTCTGGCAGGCAAGGCTGCGCTGGCTGGGTCATGTAGCCCGCATGCCCAGCCACCGCATTCCTAAACAGCTTTTGTTTGGCCGGATAGAGAGGGCTAAACGGGCTCGGCACTGGCTAGAGAAGAGATATAGTGATGTGGTCCAGGAGGATGTGGAGCTGAGTGGACTTGCCGTTGACTGGTACCAGCGATGTCAAGATCGGCCTCTGTGGAGAAGGCTCGTGAAGGACGCTGCTACTGGGCAAGTTGGAGGCAGTCGCCTTGCAGCAACAACGGAGGGCGGAGGAGCGACGCTCACAACAACGAGCGGAGCGCCGGGTGGCTAAAGCACAGCAAGTTGGTACAGTAGGGGGAACAGGTGGTGTATCAGCCAGTCGTCTCAGTCGACCAGTGGTACCTGGGTCTGCCCCGTGACCTCCCAACGGGCGTTCGGCACTTCACGTGGCCTCAACGTGCACATAGTCTGGCGCAAGCGTCGTGGTGACATCACCGCCACTTAGTGGTGAATTGGCGGTTGTTGTGTGTGTGTCGGTGTGTGTATCAGTGTGTGTAGGTGTACACGTTCCGCGTTATAACGAGGGCTTACCAGAGGTGGTATTAAGGGGGATAAGTTATAAGATTCTTGGGATTAATAGGACAAGATAGCAATGATCTTAGCATTTGTGTCAGCGACCAGATCAGTGCATCACTCTTGACCACGAGTCTCCTGTCATTCTCAGACCGCACCTCCGATTAGCACCGTTGGCTACGTACGGTGCAAAATAAGTTCAGCATACATACTACATACTACACTTCTATACACTATACACTACACTATACACTACTATACACTGCTATACACTACACTATACAAACGTATCATACACACCGAAGACTCCGGGCTGACCGAGCAAGGGATCTGCAGGAGGAGATCCTCTCGGCTGTGAGAGATGTCGCGTAGAGGGGACGACGGATCACGAGGACAGGCTCCTGCTGCTGCTGCTGCTGGTGAGTAGTCCTCTAGCTGCACCTAGCCTGGCGCTAGCGGCCGTGGTGGTGGTAGTGACGGTCCCCGCTAGCGAGCGGCGCTTGTTGCTGGGCGCTGTCTCTGCGTTTGCTTCCTTCCCGCTGCAACCTCACGGAGAGAAGCAGCGGCGGTGCTTGAGTCTCTCACTGCACTGGGTTCCTCTTGGGACAGGAGATGTGGAGGAGGTGGAGGAGGTGGAGGTGTTCCCTTCTCTACCCGTGGAGCCGCTCGTGAAGCGAGAGGAGGAGGAGCCGGGTGGTGAGACGTGGCCGCCCGTGAAGGTGGAAAGAGACGACGCTGATGACGGTGAGTGACCTCCCCTGTTCACATCCTTCTGGGAGCTGAACTTTGAGCAACTATTTCATCATCTGAAAGCTATTCGGCTCTGGCAACAGAAAATAACGTTGCCCTGTTAATTTCCTCACAATCCATCATGCTGCCTGCGCATTGAAAATTTTTCTAAACGTAAAAGCTCATTTCTTTAGAACATTAGTTTGTTGTCCTTCCCCCGCACCTCCGACGAGCATGGTCGGCTCCGTACGGCGGTGCGAAAGTAGTTCAACGCGCACGCACGTAGACGCGCACGGAGAGAAACCATAGACTCGCACGGGAACCCATAGACTTACACGTGCACTTTGAAATAATCGAGATTGAAAACGAATTTACTTCGAACTGCTTGTTGTTGTGTTCAGTTTATTGCTCTTGAGCACGTTCGGCTACGTACCGTGTGAAATATGTGTGAAAGAAGTTCAACACACACGCACATACATCGCGAACAATGTTGTCTCGTGCGTACATTTGTACAGAGCTCAACTCTTAATGTTTCGTCTCCTAGGTCAAGACCCTGACATTCATTTGAAAGAAGAAGAAGACTCTCAGTCTGAAGGAGAGGACCCAAGCAGCGGAGAAGAAGACCTTCAATCTGATGAACGAGACCTTCATTCTGATGAAGACAATGGTCACGTTGAACAGACTGGTGGCTCCAGAGGGAGGCTTTGGCGAGAATCATGGATCCCGCGAAGAGATGGGGCGACTTCGTCGGACGTGGCGGAGATTGAGGTGGTCCTGGAGGATGACAGGAGCCGTAAGAATTCACCGATCGACCAGAAGGCCCGCGATGAAAAGATTTCCCACCGGTGCTCCCTGTGCGGCAAGGGATTCTCCTGCCCATCGCGCCTCAAGAGCCACACGATGACGCACACCGGAGAGCGGCCCCTCGAGTGCTCCGTGTGCGGGAAGGGTTTCCGAAAGTCATCGGCTCTCAAGAGCCACGCGATGATCCACACGGGGGAGAAGCCGCACAAGTGTCCGTTGTGCGAGCACAGCTTCATCCAGTCTTCCGCCCTCAAGAGGCACATGATGAAGCACACGGACGAGAGGCCGCACTGGTGCTCTGAGTGCGGCAAGGCCTTCACCGACTCGTCGACGCTCAAGAGCCACCTCCTGATCCACACGGGCGAGAAGCCGCACGAGTGCCCGACGTGCGGCAAGGCCTTCGCGCACCTCTCCAACCTCAGGAGCCACGTCAAGATCCACACAGACGAGAAGCCGCACCGCTGCCCCTTGTGCGAAAAGGGCTTCGCGGAGGCGAAGTCGCTTAAGAATCACATGATGAGCCACACGGGAGAGAAGCCGTACAGGTGTCTGTTGTGCCAGATGGGCTTCGTGCAGCCGTCTGCTCTCAAGAGGCACATGATGAAGCACACGGACGAGAAGCCGCACAAGTGCTCCGTGTGCGGCAAGGCCTTCACGGACTCGTCGACGCTCAAGAGCCACCTCCTGATCCACACGGGCGAGAAGCCGCACGAGTGCGCGACGTGCGGGAAGACCTTCGCGCACCTCTCCAACCTCAGGAGCCACACGAAGATCCACACGGGCGAGAAGCCCCACCGGTGCCCAGTGTGCGACAAGCGTTTCATTGAGGCGAAGTCGCTTAAGAATCACGCGAAGACCCACACGGGCGAGAAGCACAAGTGCGATTCGTGCGAGAAGACCTTCACGCATTTGTCGACGCTGAAGAGTCACAAGATGTCCCACTCGGATGAGAAGCCGCACAAGTGCGCGTTGTGCGAGAAGGAGTTCGTACACTTGTCAGCGCTGAGGAACCACACGATGACTCACACGGGCGAGAAGCCGCACCAGTGCCCAATATGTGAGAAGTTCTTTGTGACTACTTCGGCTCGTGATCGCCACATGAAGACCCACAACCTGCAGAAGCCGTACAAGTGCTTCGTGTGCGGGAGAAACTTTGTAGATCCGGCGAACCTTAACTTTC